AGAGAGAGAGAGAGAGGGTAGATAGAGAGCTAGAGAAAGCGTTATGATTATTAAAGTGTTAAGATGCCAGCTTACAGTCGGTGTTCCAATCGTTATTGCATCCTGACCACGGTAGAACCTTCTGGCAGGATGCAAACAGGTAATAGAGTGTCCACGCAACGAGGACGGTGTAGTAGAGTGGCGTCAACACCGATATCATTGTCATGGCATACCCCATACCTACAGTGAAAACGAGAATCAAAGATGTCAGCATTATTGTGAGGTAGCCAGAGGAAGCACCAATAAACAGAGGTATATCAATATCTCCGTATCCGGACGACTACCCCCCGGACAACTACCCCCCGGACAACTACTTCCCGGACAACTATACCACTCGGACAACTACCCCCCTAGGACAACTATCCCCTGGACAACTACCAACCGGACAATTATCCCCTTAGTGTTGTTGGGGAGTAGTAGTCCTAGAATCCATTATCTTATGAGCTGACCGACCTACCCCCCCCCCTCGAACGACCGTCCGACCAACATGCATGCTAACCTTGAAACACAGGTGATATATTTCCGAACAAGCCAACCGGTCCAAGGCTTGCAAACTGTCCGAGAGACAGTTCCAGGTATAGCAGCGGCAGTCCCACGAAGATCATCATAATGACGTAGGGTATTAAGAAAGCCCCTGTGTGTGAGACACAGCCGTCAGAAGTGGATGACAAGGCGGGTTTAGGGGTTTATAATAATAATAATAATAATTATTATTATTATTATTATTAGTTATAATATTAATAATTATTATTATTAGTTATAGTAATTATAATGATAACATGAAACATCACATATAACACGTAGAGAAAAGATTCCATGTTTGATAACACATCACGCATTGCGCCCCCTGGCGTCGCTCACCTCCTCCATTTCGGTAGCAGAGGTAGGGGTCACGGAAAATAGGAAATGCAAATTAAACAGTCCACAACTAAAACACGCGACGTAACTTCACGCGTAAATTCAATCAAAATCTTGGCCACATCTTCATTATTCAACGCTTCCAATGTCAACTACCATAATTACTGCTTCCCTAGCGTCACTCACAGCCCCCATTTCAATAGTAATATTAATATTGATATAGGTATTAATAATAATAACATAAAACATCACATAGAAAGCACATTCTATATTCGATAACATATGACGCGTGCGTTAAAAGCGCATTGCGCCCCCTGGCGTCACTCACCTCCTCCATTCCGGTAGCAGAGGTAGGGGAATCTCCACACGCTACCAAGACCAACGGCATAGCCGAGACAAGACAGGAAGAAATCTAAGTTGCCGCTCCAGTTACCGCGTTCCTTGTTCTCGTCGTCATCGTTATCGTCGTCCATAGCCAGCGGTTTAACACGCGCGCACACTTGTTGCGGAGACCCCTGGTGGTGGTGGTGAGAAACTATAGTCAGCATAGCTATATTTTTCCATGACGCGTTATCGCGCCAGACGGAGAGATGCAAGAGAGTTAGAGCCGACGGAAAGAGAGAGGA